GTTTCAGATAAATATACACATTGCTTGAGAACAAAATAACGTACGGAAGAACAGCAAAACTGACGAAATCAATTTTCATAAATAATCGGAATAAGGTCCTATAGGATGGACCTGAAAGACAACGCAACGGGTATGTGTTCTCCTCTTCGACTCCAGGAATATCTATTGTGGTTTGATTTTCCCCGGTCGGCGCGGTACTGTGCATTCCCATCATCCAGAAATGAATTAGATTCTTCACGGCAATCAGTACACCGAAACTGGTCATTCCAAGGACAACTGAGGTCACAGTGACCACATTGTTAGCGCGATGTGGGAATGCCACCACAAGAAGTCGTTCTACTGCAATCGCGCACAATGAACCAACAGCAAAATCCGTGGAGAAAGCAACGGAGAAAACGTGCAATTTACATGAGATTGGTCCGTCGTTTCGCAGATCCCAGTCAAAAATCTTGATAGACCAGTATCGCAAAACGGCAGTGAGTAATACCCCCGTGTCAGCAATCGACAATATAACCATGAGTATGCGAGTAGTTAGGCGATTTGCCTTGTTTCCTCCCATGATGATACCACATATTATATTTCCCGGGATTCCAATAATAAGAAGTAGACTGGCGTAAACCATTAGAAATGTATCCGCCAGACTCCATATATTTGCAGCATTAACAGATTCCATGGTGAAACTTCCATTTACGTCCATTCCGCAAAAATAATTAGATCCGCATAGGATGCATGAATCTTTGGCGTGGACGACCCTGTTCCCAACTTACTACTAATAAGTGTGAGATTTGTTTGAACAAATACGTAAACCAATCAGATTGAAGCAAACGTTTGTAGAAACCAGCCAATCAAACTTAAGCGTAATCGTCCTAAACAAACTAGAACAACGCAAACTTATATGTCAATACAGAATTACAAGGGCACTAAAAGTGTTGCACTTATTTATGCTCCACATACGTCATGAACACGAAACATGAATAGTACAACTTAATTGCGTATTTATCTTGGGCCATAATGATACAAAATCGGATACACCATAAACTTACATCGATATCGCTCTCATTCATAGTGATACTCATGTACTTCTGGAAACTTAGATGTGTGCAAATGCAACATAAAGAACTTGCTTATGTAGACATGAAACCATGAACATAAGATATGGAACCGAATGTGCTGGGAAACGTTGTACTAAGATACGAAATATTTACTTCATAAGTTCGTTTATTCTGCATCGAACAAATGTTTGTTTCCGTAGAAAGCTCCCATAACAATATGGTCAACTCATGAATACAGATTATTAATCAATTATGGACCGAATTTTCAATGAATATATTTTGCGTTGGCAAACATGCAATTGAAATAGATTTAATGATATGAAATTCGGTGAATAGACAATGATGATAAGGTTCCAGAAACTGTAGCATAAATAGAAAATTTCAACATCAACTAAATGAGATTCTGTCTTAGTTCCTTTGATTATCCTTCCCTGGAAAATAGTAAAAGAGTAAGATGGATTAGGACGGAATTCTAGAAAGCAGCATTGCGAGTGTATAGAGGTTTGAATTTTTTGCGAAAAAAACTGTGTTAATGGATCAATAAGGTTGAGATCTTGGGTGCGTGACACATCTTGCACGATTAAATCTCACAACCGGTCACACGCATCAAGGTTTCGATTGACACTGGAGTCAACGCGCTCTACATATGGGACAGTTCTATGTCAGTGAGCGTCTGATCAGCATACATTTCTTACATGACGGACAGGATGGGATTGCGGGAAGCATTAAATTCAATGACAAACTAACTCCTTTCAAAATAAATTTGGAAATTGCGTACAATAGCCTCTTGAGGTGTCAAAAGCGTGACATGTGAAAGATTAACATTGCGATTTTTAGAATATTAAGTTTGAATTAGCCCATTCGATTGTTCAGAGGCATCAGGCACTCTTGATGGTTCTCGATGTGGGTTTCACTCCTTGGGAGATCGTTAATTCCCCACTATTTGTATGCATTTAAATGCGATGGAAGTGTTTGTGATGACCAACAAAGAACACCTGACAGCTGTTTCGTCCTGTTTGGGACACGTCAGCAGTGCGTACTTTTTGTGTCCCTGTCAGAACTCGAACCGNCAGTCGGGTCGGGAGTTCAAACCCTTACCCCTGAGCTACACGGTCGACCTCCCAAAGAGTGAAACCCACACCGAGAACCATCAAGAGTGCCTGATGCCTCTGAACAATCGAATGGGCCAATCCAAACTTAATACTCTAAATTGATTGAGCCATTCGCACAAGGTGATAACCGTCGATCGTGTAGCTCAGGGGTAAGGGTTTGAAGTCCCGACCCGACTGATCGCGGTTTGAGTCCTGACAGGGACACAAAAAGTACGCAC